TCTGACATCCAGTCCTTTTGTCTAATGCTAGAACTGAGACCGTTATGAGATCAGGAGCTGCGTGACCCTGGTGGAACCCAAACTGAGCAACAAGTGAGCAGGGTATTATAAAACAAATGCTGCTTGGTAGCATAGTTGATGACACCTTTCATCATTTTGTGTGTGATCAAGTGTAGACCGATTGGTGTAATTGGCAGAGTTGGGTTTGTCCTGTTTTTTTGCCTAGGACAGACCTAGGCAATTTTCCATATTGGCAGGTACGTGCCAGCATTCTAACTATACTAGAACAGCTTGGCTACGGGTGCAACAAGTTCTGGAGCATACATCTTCAGTACTATTGCCAAAATGTGTTCAGGGCCATAACCTTTGCAGTATCCAGTGTCTCCAGCCATTTCTTGGTATCACAAAGTGAAAGCAACCTGGCTGAAGATCTACGATGCTAGAGAACCTCGTGAGTGCTCGAGTCTAAGGTATGCGCAAGTGGCAGGCAAAGGAAGTGCTACAAAAGCCACTTAAAGGCTTCATATAGGAGTTTTGATATTGACTTGGAGTCCTGGGTAGTTCACACTGGATCACTGCACCTGATGCCAGATTTAAGAAAAAACAAAATGGCTTAGATTTCTTTGAAAGCAAGTCATAACAAAGGCAGCAAGAAAATCCATAACAGGAACTCACCCACAACTCTATGGTTTTGGTGCCCTATTCTATCCACAGCAGAACCTTCCAGGCACAGATTAGCCTTAGCTGATGTATCCATCAAGACCCTACCGAACACAGCAGCTAATCAACATAGTCACATTAACCAAGAAAGAAAGAGACCAGAAGTCAGCCATGTCCAAGAGATCGTGTTGTCCTCCTAAGAGGTCAATATTGAATATTTTGGACGTAAAACTTCACCAAAAAGAAAGTAAACATATCATCCAAAGCAACCAACTCCAACACAGATGCCCAAATAATTTGTACATCAATATTCATCTAGGAGTTTCAACGCGAAACAGTGCAGACACAGACACCCTACTTCAGCCAGGCAAAAACCTGTGAAATGAGAACATCTAAATTGGAGAGCTCTGGCAATATCTCCAATGGAAACTACACTCCAATGGCAGTTTGTGATGTATAGTGATGCCAAGAGTGTGGGTTCAACTGCAGCATCGACTGAGATTACTACGAAGGATTCTCCTTCTCAACATCTCCACTTGCCAGAAGAATGGTGACCTTCGGGTTAAACTACACCAGCATCTCTAAATGAGGGAGTTGGCCTTTGGTTTGGTAAGACTATAATGACCTTACCAGCATTAAACCAGAGCACAAGCTACAAGATCTCACAGTGTTTACACCAGCTAGGACAGTTCCAGCTCTTGTAACTAGTATGCATTGAAGTTGCATGCTTCCCCACTTGTACATCAGTACAGATCAGAAATGTGAGGCAAGCAGAGAAGTGGCAAAATAAACACTGCAAAGCTGCCAAAGGAGACAATTTCTTTCAGCGAGTGCAATTTTTCCTTTTTTAAAAAAAAAATTCAGATTACATTGCTGCAATTTCCACAAGGGCGTTTTTTGATTCATGCTGCGAAAATGGAATATCCTGTATGCTACATGGTACACTGCAACATGATCTCAGTGAAATACAAATCAGGCAAGAGGCAAGCTGAAACATCAGATCCCCTGACCTTTTATTAGTCAACCCACATACTGAACTTAAATGCATGTAACACACACACCTATCAAATGAAAAGCCAAGATTTCAATTTTCCTATGTTGCCCCACTCACTGCAGGTTTCATGCAGAGAATGTGCTTCATAAAACACTAGACTAAAAGAGAGACAGATCCCGAATGAGAAATATTGGTGGCAGCAGTGGTTGTGGCGAGAGTTGGGGGTGCGATGTGGAATAGTGGATGAGTTAAAGCTTAACAAACAGGACTCAAAATGAAGGGTTTAAAGAAGTGCAGAGATGGCAGAGTTTAAGAAGGAATACAAGATCAGTTACTGAGTAGATAGAGCCAGAATCAATTAATACCATGCTGGTCAGAGCTCATCTTGCTAACACAGAAACCAAAACATGATAGCTTGAAATTAAGTTTGAAAAGAAAGATCACATGCAACTGAAGAATTTAAACTTAAAGCCGATAACCATATTAAACTGTGTCATGATGTACAAGATGGACTACTGTTTTTCAATTCCATCACAGTCCATTGGGGACTTTCATGGACTGAATTTTTTTTGGATAAAGCAACCAAAACACTGACTGAAAATGGCCACAGCAATCACCTGACCACACAGGTTGGCCAAATTTCATGAAATCACTTGGTAAAGAGAATCTAGATTGAAATAAAATTTTATTCAAAGGCAAGAAAACAGATAAGCCCTCATCTCCTATTTGCATTTACACCTTTAATAAGAATGTTCATATGTTGAAGTTGAAAATATTACCTATAAATTAGCAATCTCGGAGACAACGAATTCAGACATGGAAATAAAAAAAGCTTGTATATCAGGAAGTTGCTTTTGGCAGAAAGAAATCAAAGGATGCAGGGCTTGTTGGGGATTTATATTTAAGGACTATGTGGAAAACAAAGAATTGTTTGGACATTTTCTGGATAGGAAAAGGCTTATGAAGTCAACAGTTTAATGTGTGTCGTGGTATACAGAAAGTCCAGTGGCTATGCAGAAAATATAAACAAAGCTTTCAAAGGAGGTAGGAGTTGGTTTATAGCCCTTAATTGTTGCAAAACCTGGTTTTGAAAAGTCTATGATGGTTTCTATGCTATAGGTGCCTAGCAATCCTTTCTGGACTTTTGTTCCGTAAAAACGGAAGAAAAGTCATAAGGAAGAAATCTACACAACTGCAAGTCTCTTCCCCCTTTGTTTCTCAGCAGAGATTCTGGGAACTGATTAAAGTTTCCAAATATCAGTATTGCCCACTACCTTACACACTCTGAAAAGCTGAACCATGACCAATTTCCAAAGACACTGATTCAGCTGGATGTCAATCCAAACTGAACATCTGCCAGCCAGCATACCTGTCAGCATTTTGATTCCATCGACAGGAAAACAATGGACCATAAACCTTCATCCAATTCGATCCATTTTTTTCAAGCAATTGGTCGATGGGAATTTTTTTTTTCCTTGGGCTCTGCTTTCTTTTAAAAAAAGAAAGTGCAATCGACTGCAGAGACAGTTGCATTTTGTATGTGCACCCATGTTTGGGAATAAGGGGATATAATGCCAAGTTGGTTAATAGCTAAGCTAGAATCCAAATATTTGCCACTTGTATCTTATTCTTGATACATAAATATAAAAAAATTATTTTGAAATCATTTAAGAAGCTTGGTTACGGTCTTGGTTAGTTGTGCAAAAGGGAACCAAATGGACACTTCTGTGATTGAGCCAATACATTTATACCAATGATGTGACTGGTAAAGCAGAAGGGCTTGATTATCAGCAGATTCCTCCTGTCACAGTCACAATACATTGAATCTCTCCCTCCAAGGGAACATGCCTGATGACAGTACATATCAAAAGAAATAGAACTTAAAAGCATAACTGCAACATTCACTACTTCTGATGGTTTGAGACATCAAATAGACAACCATGGTCCTAGGTTAAAACTTTATGGCTCAAGGAGAACCGGATATACTCTAAACAATATTTTATTTTTATTAACAATTTATGTACTGGACATTGTCCCCTTTTATACTTGCAATTGCAAGTGAGAGGGAGCACCCAAAGTACATTTTCTTGGCCTTGTGTCTTTGGCTTTTAAAAAATTTGGGTTAAGAGGTAATAAAATGCTCTTTCATTCAGGAAAACCGAGATTTCCTTACTGCTACAGCAGAAATTAGTTTACTATGTTTTAATTGGAGAGAGGTGTATTCTCTTTCTAAAAAGAACATAAATGTTTGTTGCAGCCAATCAAGTAATTAAAAAACAAAGGGTAGCCAAATTCATGCCTCCTGACAGGGTTGTAACAACCAAGGATGAGCTGGAAAAACTCCAATAAATGTAGTGGAAGATATTCAAATAGCAAAGGTTTCACATGTATAGTCAAGGAATCAAATCAACAATAGATAAAACACAGTATAAAGCTAAGGAATCTTTTTACATTAATGAGTTAAAGAAGTGGCAGAATTATATTCAGCAAGTGATACAAATGAAAGAAAATTACAAGTTCCTCAAAGGGAAATTATTTTTAAAAATCATAAAACCCAATCGTAACAATTTGTAATGCCAAATAGTGGCAAAGATACAGTTTGTACAAATTTATGGACATGGAGAGATGCAAGAACTATAGTATGCAAGTATCTTAATATAGACTGGGAGATTAAGATCCTTATAAGTTAACTCTTGTAAAATCAAACAGCCACAAGATGGCAGAGCAGATAGATCTGTATAACACTGAGCAAATACATTTAAAAAACCTTGTTGTCTCATTTCTAAACATTAGTGTTTTTTACGTGTTGCATTCCAAGCCAAACAGTTCATGCTCCCCAGAAACTGAAAATTTTACACCACAGAGGTTCAATGTCTTGAGTAATTTATACACAAATGAAGTCCTTTCTGTGTAAAACGCAATGCCAAATTGAGTTTTGATTGAGCATCACTTCTGAAGTGAAGCAGCATGAGGCAAAGAGGAAGTGACAAGAACCACACATGCACTACTGATCTGCATCTTTGCACAGAGGAGACAAAAGATGGGAAATCAAAAGCTTCTTACTGTGCACGAGGAGGTAGGTGACTCAAAGTTCATTACCAAAGCCAGGTGAACAGTTCTCATGCAACAAATGCAAAGAATGCTGGGATAATACCAGCATCTCTAGTTGCATCTGTGGAGAAAGAGTTTCAAGTCGGGTTTGACTCTTCTTCAGCGCTCATCCTTGCTACCTTGCTCAAGCTTACAATTTCCTAGTTCAGCACCAAAACCACTATTCTCAACTGAAAATGTTTCAACAGAATTGCTGAAGTACGAGTGATTATGCTGAATAAGTAAATGTACTTACTAAATACAGCAGAAACGTGTGCAGACCGGTGCCAAGTCCAACAGAAGACAGAATGCCCAAGCCTACCCAGTAGGCACACCACAAAAACTTCTTTTCCACAAAACGTACATACTGTCACAAGAGGAAAACAAAGGCTAAAATTAACAACTGATGCATATCACACCTTTAACAGTTAAAAGCATCCCAAGGGCTGAGTTTAAACAGAATAATAGGGGATTTTGCACAATTATTTCAAAAACGGTTTTGAGAAAGGGTTAAGAAAAGGTAGCTTTTACCTTACAGGAGCCAGGCTCACTCTCAGAAAACTGAGGTCACTGAGCAATAAACACATTACTTTCAAAAATGTGGGAATGGATTAACCCACCAGGGTAGATACACTAGGTAGAATTTACAAGGTTTTTTTAAGGCCAGATTAAGCTAAACCAAAAATTTGAAGAGGTATGGATGTGGCAGTGATGAATGCTCAATGTTGCAAGCAAGGCAGTTCAATTCTTTTAGATTAAGACCAATATGGCTGTGCATATGTGACTTAAGCAAACTCAACTTGCAATCAGCTTCAGTGATCTATCAGCAGTGGGTGTGAAGTTTTTTCATCATTTCTTGTTTTAAAGTCTGGATTAATGCATGAAAGAGAGTTCTTCTGTCAGCAGTTTCCCTCTCTAAATGTCTTCCTCAGTGCTATATCTCTGGTGCAAACTGTATGGACTATATGAAAGTAGCCAGCGTAGCCTGGTGTGAAGCTGTCTGATGCTTGTGCGCAGTTCATTGGATAGCAACCAAGAACACACACAATTCCTGCCCAAGATCATCTGCCTCAAGATTTGGAACTTTCAGTCTCTGTTGCTAAAACATCCAACCAGAAGCTGCTTACAGCCAGTGAACTAAACAGAACTCAAATCAAGGAGCTCAGATTAATTAAAGAAGGTATCACACTGGATATGCAGATCAAGAATCTGTTTTGAAATTTCCAGAATTGCATTATTGCATATGTAATTAACTTCCACATTTTCCCCTTGACCTTCCATGTTTTATAGAAGTCCTTTAAGCGCAGTCAAAAAATTTACTGACCAGTATAATGAGAATTAAGCAAATTATCAAGTCACAAATGGTTTACAATTGACAATCTGCATGTGTATAGCGTACCTCTCAATTACTTTAGGGAAAAAACCCAAGGCACACTATATCAATATCAAGCCAAGGGAAAAAAAAATTAGGATGGGTAAGTAATTGCTTAGTCAAAACGGCAATTTTGAAGGACATTCTGTAAAGCAGAGTGAAATTGAATAGCAGAATTCATAAACAAGTTTAGTCGCAACAAAATGCTGCAGGTGGTGTGAAGATTTCAGCAACATTCATGGTCAATATTGAGTTGGGAAGCAGAAGTTCAAGAGAACTTGAAGTAGAGTCAACAATGATCGGGCAAAAGGAATGGTGTACAGATAAACGGGCTGGGGTGAAAGCAGCTTTGCAAGATACTGGGACTGGAGGTGGTTATCAGGATAGGAAATGGTGAGGTCACAAAGAACTTGAAATTTGAAGCAATGGACAGGGGAGGGCATGTGCTCAGATGACAGCCAGGAAAGGTAAACAAGCACAAAAGGCTCTTAAGCTAGTGAAGGCATAGAGAATGCGATACAACTAATAATTTATAAAGCCTACAATATGGAATACTAGCTGAGAGTATTGGAATAGAGGAGTCCGAATATGGATGAGCATTTCAAAAGGTCTAAGCAATGACAATGGAAATATTATTGAGCTGCGAAAAATATACAATCAAATTCAACTATTCCGAAAGATTTTTCCCATTCCTTCCACTTTCTTTTTAAAAAGAGATACATTTAATAAAGTTTCCTAGTTACTAATCAAAATATTAAGATGACCCATTGTTTAATCTAAATTGATTCCTAAATCTAAATACCACTAGGCCATACCACCCCCCCCAGTGGTATTATCACAGGATTGTTAATCCAGAGACCCAAATGTTGTTTCGGGGTGCTTGGGTTCAAATCCTGCCATGGCAGATGGTGGAATTTGAAATCAATAAATATCTGGAATGAAGAATCTAATGATGACCTGAATCCGTTGCCGATCGTTGGAAAAACCCATCTGGTTCACTCATGTCCTTTAGGGAAGGAAACTGCCATCCTTATCTGGTCTGGCCTACATGTGACTCCAGACCCACACTGGTTGACTCTGAGCTGCCCTCTGGGCAATTAGGGATGGGTAGTAAATGCTGCCTAGCCAGCAACACCCTCATCCCATTAGTGAATAAGGAAAAAAGATTAACTGTGGCTAGATTTTCAGTCAAGTGAATTGATTGTCAAGATTGGTCTATTGGAAACACAAACTCGTAAAAACTTCAATTCTATAAGACTTGTAGAACAATTCATTAATCTGATGAATTAATAAAGGGGAAAACACTGACAGAGTAATGAAGAAAAAAGGACACAAGACCAACGGACCAGCTGCAGAGGTGGCACAGATACAATGGACCCAATGACCTCTTCCTGTGCTGTATCATTCTATGATTCTGTAAACTAGATAGTAATGCAAAACAAAAACAAAACAGAAGAAATTGAACATCAAGTACTTTCTTCACTAAATCTAGCTGCATATCCTCTAGATACTGATAACTTAATTAAAAATCAGAAGTTCCAATCTACAAATCATAGCAATATACCAAAACTAGAAAGGTACACTGATTTATTGCAAAATTGGTATTAAAACCAAGCAGAACTAAAAGTACATTTTTCCAAGTGCTCTTTAAGAACTCCAAAATAGTTATATATCAAATCAAATTCGCTATTCTCACTTTAAAATGGTGCCATATTGAAAATATACTACAGAGTAAGTCACATACATCGACATACAAAGCTTAAACACTTCTCCCCGTTAAAAACAACTTCAAAATGAATAAATGTGTGTTTTCAAAGTTTAAAATTCCTCAGCCTGCTCATAAACAGAAACTAGTTTGACTGGTTCTGACAATATATTGCAGGCGCTGTCATGCGTTCATGAACATCCTTGTATATGGTTCATGATCAATATTATGAAACATACTTTGAAGTTGGCTAAATTTAATTCAAAGCTTACTGCTTTTCTTAAACAATTACTCTTTTCCCCTAAAGGCATTGACTCTTGCAGGATCAGGCTTCAAATAACAATCCACAGGTACTTGACTTAGCACCCACACTTCATGTCTCTACCTTGATAGAAAACATCAGCAGACCGAGTACACTAGACATAAAAGCCTAAATGCCTGCCTGCTATAAGCACATCGTATCATACAATCTGTGCAGTGGGGAAGCAGGCCATTCTGCCCATCGAGTCCACACCGACCCTCCAAAGAGCATCCCACCTGGACCCAGACCCCAACCCAATCCCTGTAACTCTGCATTTCCCATGGCTAATCCATCTAGCCTGCACATCCCTGGACACTATGGGCAACTTAGTACGGATAATCCACCCAATGTGCACATCTTTAGACTGTGGGAGGAAACCGGAGCATCTGGAGGAAATCCATGCAGACACAGGGAGAATGTGCAAACTCCACACAGACAGTTGTCAGAAGATAGTATCAAACCCAGGTCCCTGGCACTGAGAGGCAGCAGTGCTAACCACTGAGCCACCATGCTGCCCCTACCACCAAGACAGAGAGCCAAAACAATCTTCATTGCTCAAAATCAAGAAATCATGCTGGCATAATAATTCAGAACACCCTGCACCTCCGTATTCACGTTTAAAAGTTTTATAAATAAATATCATGTGCAAGCCCCAAGTTAAGAGTTACAAGTATCTGCATTAAAAATAAATTACAAAGAACTACAAATAATGTTCTAACTTTTTCTTCTCACTCTTAAAGATTCAAAAATTAAATCTAATGAGACGAATTGATCGATTGTCCAGGAAGTGACAAGTAAAAAAACTAATTGAGAAATCCTAGTGAAAGGCTGAAGCCCATAGGACAAGGCACCAATGTTAAGAAATTGGGACAGATAGCGCCACATATGGTCTTTAAAAAAAAACTTAGGCAGAAGATTGAAGAAGGGAAGTTTGGAGAATGAGTCAAGAGTTTGTGCTTTTTTTTGCTTTCTGTGTCAAATTCTTTTTGCAAAAACATTGAAGGCTGCTTCTGGTTGTCATGATACACCAGACAGCGGAAATAAAATTCTTCAAGCATACTGCCATTTCAAGAGTCCCAATTCGTTTAACTCTCAATCCCTTCAAAAATGAGGTGAAATAAATTTTGTTAGCATCAATCGAGTTCCAGTATCAGGTAGCAAAACACAAAAAAACTGCCCAAACTCAAATTTCATAATCTCAATCCAAGGAATTGTGCGGATGGTGAATATTGCTAAACTATTCTGGAACATCAGTACTCTGGAGAAAGTAGGACTAAGGGATGTTTGGATAAAGATTTTATTAGTCTTTTTTAAAATCACAGTTCTGGAAACGGGGTTGGGAGGGGGGGGAAAAAGCAGGAAAACAGTGTTAAGGCCACAATCAAATCAGCCACCATTATGTTGAATTGCACATCAGGTCAATTGTTCGAAAGGTCTGCTACTTATGAATACTACAATGCACAACACAAAATGAAACAGTTTGTTTTCAAAAGAAAGTTAAGATTTGTATTAAAATCCAAACTGGTTTTGGATGGAACTGTTAACCACCTGTCTTTCAGGTTTGATTGGCCTGCTAAACATTTCTAACCATCAATCACTCTCATTGAGTCAACTATTATTTAATCAATTAATCAATTAATAACAGCAGCCCAAGTTATAACCTCTGAGCTCACCTGTTGATGCCCACCTTCAACATAGTAGGCAACTGTAGCAACAGCAAACAATAACAGAGTGACGAAGACAAACTGTCGTCGCTGCCACAACCTGAAAGAGAGAACCACACAGCTGCATTAGTCTATAAAAGGTGCTGACATACAATTAGCTCACCTGTCTGGCTGGGAAGAGGGGGAAAATTGGGAAAGGATAGAAAAAAAGAAAGATCATTAGGTAACGGACAAAGTTTATTTTATTCCTGGTCTCATATGAATATTCATCTTTTACCTTGGATTCACCAAACTATTGTTTTTCTCCTTTTTTCCATCTCTGTGACATACTGCATTGAAACCTTTGTCACTTTCACAAAAAGTTCCTTTACAGAAATAAGAATTGATATCGATACCAAGGGACCAATCACGAGGTTGGCCAACTTAACTGTATCGTAGATGCAACAAATAAAAAGAATGTTTGAAACAAAGTTCCATAAGTAAGTTCCTGTTTTTATGCCAGATGGAGCCTGTGATATACCAATTCATCAAGTTCCTGATCTCAAAGACAGCTTAAGGAGAAAACAGAGATAAGGTATCTCCTTTGAGGAAAAAACAAGACCATTGACTTGCTGCTTTCTTAGATTTTACAATTAGTTGCAGATTGGACCTGATAGAAATAGAACAAGATAGACAGAATGATGATATAAAATGACAGCAAGAACACAGATTTAAGCAAGGGCGCTTTAGTCATACAGTCAGAAGTCTACAACACAGGAAAGACCCTATGGCGCACTGCATCCACATGGGTCAAGAACCACTATTCCATTTTCCAGCACTTGGCCCATAGTCTTATACGCCTTGACATAATTTTTAGAAGGCAAAAGAAAAAGGTCTAAAAGACCTTCCATGCAATCTTGATCACCATCGCAATCAAGAATGCAAAACAATGGTCAGAAATGAACTACAAGCTGAGCATTTAAGACCTATATAACAAGCATAAACTTGGGCTATGAGTTATAAGAGATGAATATGGTGGGGGAAACATGAGGGCATGGAATATCTGAAGTTGCTTTAAACCGTACATTCATTCTTTGGCAGTACAGGACTTCAGTATTGCTAAAAAGGAAGACATGTCTAAGATTTTCACTTTGCATTTATCAGGACAATGTGCAAGAAAGCCAGTTTAAAGGAGAAAACCAAGATTTTTTTTGTGCATATAAGAAAACACTGGTTACAAGTGGACCCGGACTGGTGGAGGCAGTGTGTTGAAGAACGCACAAGTCAACAGTAACTGAAAGTTAACAGTCAGATTTTGGTTAAATTTTAACCTAGGAAAGTTGATTCCAATTTTCAAAGTATTTGCTTGAGAAATGAACCAACATATTTCTGTCACCTGTTTTGTTCAACTCCAAAGCTTACGTGCACATTCTGTCTGTCTGTCAAGAACAGGGCATTGAAGTTTAATATATGTAGTTTATGACTGGACCCCACTGCAAGCCTGACTGATCCTAAACTGGTTGCCAATGTAATCCTTGACATGCACTGTATTATCCAGCAAATTTTGTACAATTGTAGAATCATATGTAATGTTGGACAAATTGAGTCACAAGCTTTGAAAAGGTGGTTGAGTAATCAATGTCTTGCTTATTGCAAACAGCCAAAGGCATCTGCCATTTGATATTCAGCACGGTCTTTGGGACATACAGTCTATATTCCAGCTATCTAGCTTCACCTGTTGCTCAAATATTCACTACACCTTACTCTTTGGACACTTTTCAGGACCAAAGATGACAGCATTGTGGCCATAAAACAGTCTCAGCGATAATGTTGGTTTTCCCCTTAAATTGGTATCCTCGCAAATTGTCCTGATAAGTGCAAGATAAAAAAGCTTTGACAATTGTTTTTTCACAGCAATACTCAAACCTACAATGTTGGGACTAATATAAAGTATAGTAAATAATCTTGGTTTATGGGATTTTCTTGGACTGCTGGCTCCATACAAACACTTCTTCAGGCAGCCACATTATTCAATGCAATAAGAGGTAACATGAATAATGTGCTTTAACATAGCACCTTAATGACAGAAAAATGTATCAATTATCTCACATGAGGATTTTTTTTTAAAGCTTTGGCTCATTCAAGATTCCTGACAACGTTTGACATTATTAATGGCCACAGGAATCATTACAAGAATCTTTAACCTGCACAATGATGACTGTCCACGAAACAATTAAAAGGTAAGATAATGCAAATTAGTCAAAAACTGAACTGAAAATGCTTGCAAAATCAAAACTAGCATTTGAAAACACCTACACCATACACCAGCCCATTCATAGGTCTACATGTACTATACTGCTCCCTTTGCAAGAGGTACAAAGGTTTTGCCTTCAAAAAGTGAGCCTAAAACATTGAAACCTCTTAGTGGAGCAGAAGACAGCAGAATCCCTAATTTAGATATTAACAGGACATTGGTCATCTGTGGTGTTCAGTATGTGCAATTAGGTTAGGTCACAAATTAACAGCCTGATGGTACAGCGTGAGCATTTTCTTGTAGTTGATAACTAGTCACCCATTTGCATTTATATTAAATCAGCATTTTTTCCAAGCCTTTTCTGTGACCTTCATACAACACCAAAAAGAACAAGAACTCTTCTCTGGGATTACAGATAGCACTGGAGGTAATCATTCTTGAAATTGGAAGAAGATTTTTCATTTTAGTCAGTCACACATTACTAGTATACCATAGTGTCCATACCATATTTTTTATAACGAGAGAGAGATGCAGGCAATGCATGCAAAGCCAGATACATCACATAAATTGCCCTCAGAAGGTGGTAGTCCATCTGTCATGGTGGAATTCAAACCTGGGCCCCTGAATTAACAGTCCAGCGATAATGCCACAAGGCCATCACCTCCCAGCTATCCTGATTCCTTTACTGATGAAAAATCTGTCAATGCTTTGAATATACTGATGACCAGCCTCAAAGCCTTGTGGTAAAGAATTATTTTGAGGATAGCAAATCTGTGGAATTCATCACTTGTCTTAAATTGGCAACTCCCTTATTCTGAACGATGTCTTCTGGTCCTTGACACTGCCACTACGGCAAACAACATTTCCACGTCGACCCTGTCAAGCCCCTTAAGAATCTTATAAGCTTCAATAAGGTCTTACCTAGTTCTCCTGAACTCCAATGACTAAAAGTCCAACCTATTTAAACTCACCTCATAAGAAAAGCCCTCCACTCTCAGGTTCAACCTTGTGAACCTTCACTGGACTAGCTCCATTCCTTAGATGAGTGCCCAAAACTGTTCACAGTATGTGAGCTGAGATCTGATCAGTCCCATGTATAGTTTTAGCAAGACTTCCCCATTTTTATGTTCAGTCCTTTTTTTTGAAACAAAGGCTAACATTTAATTTTCTTTCACTGAACTTGGATGCTAGCTTCATCAGATTCCACTCACTACGACCCCACATTCAGCTCCTACCAAGGTATATAATCTCCCATCTTCCCATATTATATTCCATGTAACCTGTCTATATCCTTCAACTGACTCCAGGTGTCATCCTCCCTACCTGCTTTTCCACCAACTTTTGTCATATGCAAACTTGGGGACAGAATATTCACTTCTATCATTTAAGTGTTAGAACCCTCACTAATTTTTCATTATTTTTGCTTTGTCTTTCAATCAATTTTGGCTTGGAGCTGAAAAGTGGAGACTGTGAGCTAAAGATAACTTCTGGACTGTGGGAAACAACTGGTGTTAAAAGGAAAATATATTAAATAACCCTTGCTTATTTCAGAGGCCAGACCTGGAAGTTAATCGCAGGTTGGTTCAGGACCAAAAGGTTCTGCAGATGCTTCGTCACTAGGGAAGAGAATTATGTTTAAACAGATTGTTCAAGTAGGCTATTAATGAGGTCAGTACTTGGGAACAGATTCCATCAAGTCTGGAAAAGACCTTACACTCAAGCAGATGGCAGGTGTTGAATGGTAACTGAAACCTCACAGTGGCTGGTGAGTCTGTCAGGGAGTGGTCAGAGTTTGAATTGGGTCTTGGACTATGCATTCGAGGAGGGGAGAAGAAAAAGGAATCTGGCTGTTGATGCTAAAGCATGAAGATTTGAAAGCTCCCGGCCTAACTCCTCATGAATAACTTTGGAAGTTTAGAGAATAGAAAACTAAGTTATAAGTATCACTGCCTTTATCTGAGTGAACTGTTATGGTAATCCTGATCAACATCTTAGAAAATCAGCCAAGAATCCATCATCTATGCTGTGGAGCATTACATCATGAAAACCATTTAAATAATCTGGCCAGTTTTGTTGTTTTATTTATCCTGTGTTTGTCTGCCTGTCTTTTGTGTGAACAGGGCTGAAAACAAAGGTTTTGGGGTTTATAGCACAGATCAATTCAATTCCTGTGTAGCTTAATTTTTGCTTGGCTAAAATTATGATATTGTTAATAAATTGTTCAGTCTTTTGTTTAAGATACAAACCAGTTCTGGAATTGATTATTCGTACAGCCTATGATTAGTTATTTAAAAGTTTGATGAGGAACCACTGGGGTTAATTTTGAAGGTTTAAATTTTAACGTGTTGTGAATGCAGAAGTTGAAAGGCTGACATGGTTCTGCTGTGTCCTAACAATCATTACTATATATTGAAAGTAATTCGGAACCAGCACTGAGCCCTGCGGTACTCGACTAGTTAGAGGTGGACATCCTGAAAATGCACCCTTTTCCCAATTCTGTCTTCTGCAAATGTAAAAAAACCATAATGGGAGTTATGTACAGGCTTCCAAACAGTAGTCAAGATTTGGGGCACAAGATAGAAAAGGCGTGTAAGAAAAGCAAGGTTACAGTGATCGTGGGGGATTTCAACATGCAGGTGGACTGGGAAAATCAGGTTGGTAGCAGATCGCAAAAAAAAGAAATTTGTGGAATGTCTACAAGTTGGCTTTTTGCAACAGCTTGTGGAAGAGCCCACTAGGGAATAGGAAATTCTGAATTTAGTGTTCTGCAATGAGGCAGACCTGACAAAGGAGCTTAAATTAAAAGGAACTCTTAGGAGGCAGTGACCATAATATGATTGAATTTACTCAGCAAATTTGAGAGGGAG